TTCGGGCAGCGGCTCGCGTCAATTTACGGAAGGCAGCAGCAGGGGCAGGCGCAGGGGCAGCGCGCGACGACCGCGGGCGGCACCCGGCGGCCGAGCGCGGCTGGCTTTGCCAACTCCCGGAGGACGACGGACGCCTTTGGGGGTGCTAGAAGGGGCGGCGACGCCGGCCGCAGCAGGCGCACTACGACGGCCGGCGAGGACGCCGCGGCGCCCGCAGGCCGCAAGACGCCGAGCCGCAGCCGGCGCACGACCGACGCGGGCGCGGGCGCGGCGGCCGGGCGCGCCTTGGCGGCTCGGGACGGGCCTCCCCTCTCCCAACAGCGGCGGCGCACAAACTCGGAGCGCCCGGCGACGAGCAAGGGCGGCAGCTCGGACGGGCGGGCGGCGCCGTCCGTGGCTGGGGCCGGAGGCGCGCGCGGCGCGGCGGGCGCGGCGCCGTCGGATGGCGGGAAGGAGCATGCTGCGGCCGTGGCGGCGGCGCTTGCCGCCCATGCGGCCAAGGGCACCCTTGGGAACCAGGGGAACTCGAGCAGCGGCGCAGGCCCGGCCTCAAACGAGGCTTCGGCTGATGGAGCGCACCAACCAGACGGCGGAGACGGCGGCGGCGGCGCAGGGGAACCTCAGGCCGGCCTCGTCGCGCACCCGCTGCTCGCGCGTGCGCTGACCCTGAGCCGCAGCCTCAGCCGCAACGGCAGCCGGCATGTGCACCAGGGCGGCGCCTGGAGCCCGCGCTCGTATGCAGTGGCCGGGCGGCCGTCGGGGCTGACCACGCAAAACAGCGGCGTCGCCGCCAGCGGGGCGCCGGCCGTGGCGGCGTCCGCGACGGCGTCGCCCCGCGCGCCCGCTGTTACCACCGGCGACGGCGACGGCGACGGCACCGGCACCGGCGCCGTGCCAGCCGCGCAGCCGCCGCCGCTGACGCCGGCGGTGCTCATGGCGATGGAAGCGGTGCGGCAGTTATGGCTGCGGGAGGAGCACAGCCGCAGCACCAGCGGCGGCAGCGGCAGCGGCAGCGGCAGCGGCAGCGGAGTGCCCCGCAGCGCGCCCGCAACCTCGCAGCAGCGCTCGAGCCAAAGCCGCCTGGGCCTGGCCCTGGCGCTGCCCGGCGGCGACCAAGACAGCGGCGGGTGGCCGATGGCTTCGCCGAGGGCGGCGCCCGGCTTTGCCGGTAGCAGCAGCGGCGGGATGGGCCTGGCCAGCAGCGAG